CAGGAGATAAGCTGCAGCCGAGCCGCCCGGCCAGCGTGGGGATGGGAGGATTATTTATACCAGCTCCCGCTCCTCCCCAGGATGGCTCCTCCTCACAAGAAGGTGCAAAGAGCTCTCCCTGCGCTCCTCAGCCATGACCGGGCTGGAAACGAAACTTCTGCAAGGTCAGAGAGCCCCGGGCACCGAACACCCGAACCTGGCACCGCTTGGTACGGCTGAGCCGGGGGGCTCAGCTGCTGCTCTGCTGGTTTTTGCTCTTAAACTGCAGGGCTTTGCAGATTTTGGGCTGATTTTAAGCTGTTTTGGTATGAAGATTAACTTCCTTCCCTCCCCCAGCCCTTTTTAGAACCATTTTAGATAAACATCCAAATTTGAGACTGGCCATTGGTGGGGACCGAGCCCCCCAGTGAGGGGGGATCCCCCGACACACCATCCCCACCTCCTGGGGGGCACATCCCCTCGGAGCAGGCAGGGAGACAGCGATGGGCCAGGCTTTGCTGATCCCCTCCTAGCAAAAGCCAGGCTGCAGCTCCTGCCCACGCACCGGGCGATCTCACCCCGACCCCACAAGGATCCCCCCCACCAGAGCCTCGAGCCAAGGAGCCACAAACACCCCAAGAATCGCTTTGAAAAACCAATTTCAGGTGGTGAGACCTGCCAGGAAAGCCTCCTGGGGTTTCTTTCTCTGCAAAGTTGGCTTTTTTCACCAGAAAGGCAGGAGAAGCCCAGCCGGGGTATTTTGGTCCCCTCTCCCCGCAGCGATGCTCCCGCAGCCACGAGGCACCGCGCGCTATTCCCCGAGCGGGGCTGACACCAGCCGACGATGCCGGAGCATAAACAGAATGATTCCAGCTTGATAAAAGCAAGAGATGACAAGGACACGCTTGTTTACCAGAAAAATAAAATGGTTCCTTTCATCTGCATCCCTGCCTCTCCCCTGGGACTGCGGTTACTCCAGAGCCGTGCCGCAGGGGGTTGCTCCGGCGGTGGTCCTCCGGGGATGCACGGGGATGCACGGGGACGCACGGGGACGCACAGTGAGCTCCGTGCAGCCAGTGAGCATTTTGGGATGCTCTGCGCTTTGGCATAACGCAGTGCCCGGCTCTCCTGTGCCAACCTCAGCCCGCAGATGCCAACACCAGGATCGGCATGCCGTGATGCTGACCGAGCTACAATTCCCAGCGTGACTCTGATTTGGGCAAGACTCTGGTTTTTGGAGCTGACACCGCTGCGGGACGTAGGGACACGTGCAGGGACAGCCCTCGGTGAGCAGCGGGGCCGTCCTCCCCCCGCACACCCCGGCTGCTCTTGGATGCGGCACTTTAATCCTGTTCCAAGAGCTGGCCTGCTCTGCCTCTGCTCGTCCAAACACTGCTGGACTTTCACCCAAATTCTGTTTGTATAACCATCCGTCTGCACCGCCTGTATCTACACACGAGGCAGATATTCCACACCTCTTAAACCAACGCTTCCCGGGGTTTATCTCCGATAAGCGCAGCCGTGGGGAGGGCGCTGGGACTCCGCAAAGGTCAGGCGTTTGCTCCTAACCTTACACTTCCAAGGTCTGGAGATGTTTTCCATGGCTGCCTGTGCCAGGAAGGGATCTCCTCCCCTCTGAAGGAAGGGCTGATCCCAGCCATCTCACACCATCTCCTTTCTTATCACTTTTTTAGAACTCCCTGCAGCAGCCACAAAGCCCCTTCAACGCCCCCACCCGCCAGGAAAAGCCCCCAGAGGACGGGGACTCTCTTGGGTGTCCCTGCCCATGGCAGGGGGTTGGATCTCGATGATCTTTAAGGTCCCTTCCAACCCAAACCATTCTGTGATTTTACGATTCTATTTACAGCTGAAGTCAGTGCCATCGCTGTAACCAACGGCTGGTCCTCGTCCCCCCCAGACCCTCCCCAGCAGAGCAGACCCCTTGGGCTTCCGCAGCCCGATGCCGTAAGAAGGCAAATACGCCGGGAACATCACCC